TTGAATTGAAAGGATGCTGTGCAGACAACCTGTGGGATTCCAATAATATAGATCTTCTGACAAAATCTACAGGAGTTATGCTTAAACTTCAGAGCTGCTTGAATTTCTCACTCGGGGAAAAAGGGTGTATTTTTACCATACTTGAAAGCAACCTTTTGGGATGTACCTTGTACTGGTTATGGTGTAATCATGAAACAACCCATCTTTTTTCCAAATTCGTGAGTTCTGGCCATGTTTAATTGTCTGTTTTACTTGGAGAGAAATGCTCGCTCTTAGGATCACAGAAGCAGCATTTTAAATTCCTCAGGCAGAGGAAAGAAAAGTTTCAGAGAATAAAACTCAGTTCTTCTTAAGGTTCTCCTCATGTTAAGTATGCAGAAATGGCTCACCTCAGTGTATTTGACAGTAACTTTCAGTTCATTTGCTGGCGACAGTGTCACCAAATGTCTGTGTCAAGGCCAATAGTGTCTGCTACCTGCTCTGTTCAGTGTGGGATTGATACAGGAATGTAAGCTGCTTTCTGAATAAGATTGTGGTGAACCTGGCACTAGGAGAATGGTAGATGTCAGTGCAAATCAGGACTCCTTGCACTGATGTGTGAAATCCAGTGTGTCCTGCCAGCCTGAACCGTTAGCATTGTGTGAGACAGGTATGTCTCATGGGGAGTTCATCGTGAGTGACGTGACATGACATGTCACTCCTAGTTCAGTAGGAAGGATTAAGTGAAGCTCCACAAGAGAGCATGCAAGTTTTTGATCTGCTTCTCCAAATGGAATGCATAGAACCACTACTCAGCCTTTTCTCCAGCTCTGTTTCTGATTTTGCAGCAGAAAGGGAGCTCATTTTATACAGGTGTGAACATCTGTGGCAGAATATGGCTTGTTCTGTAAAATTGTGGACTCCATCACTGCTTCCAATTAGATTGATACTGTGAACTGCTGCTCTTATTCTGGGTAGCACCTCCTTTTGTTTTTTGGCCTCTCTGAAGACAGCAAACTTCCTTTGTCTTCCTTATTAACACTGGACGTACATCAGGCTTCTGATTGGCACTGCTATATGTGGGAACACATGTGGATGGGAAAGTTTAGCAGGGGGGCTCGTAACAGAGGATAGAAGGTATGTTACCTCACAGTTCTCCTGTTCTCTTCTGCTGTCTTCCCTGAATTCTCTGTGGCTCTTGCAGATGACATCATTTCCATAGAGCCACACCACTAAGCATGTTCCATTCTTTTTTACTGTTGGAGGTTCTCAGTGTGGGGTCATTGTCTGAGTGTTGCCAGAGCTGTTGTGCTCCAGGTGGCCACAATAAGGTTAGGCTGTGGAACTTGTCTTTCCATCCCTTTAGCAGTTCTGGCCCTACTGCTAAGCAAGCTCATTGAGAACAGGCTTGCTGGAGGCACTGACCTGCGTGCCCTGGTCTGACCAGAAGCTACCAAAAAGAGCCAGTAAAGGCAGTTGGTGCCTGGTTTGGGCTTGAGTATTGAGGATAAAGCATACCATCAAAGTTGTGCTCAGTGCCTGGAACAGGCCTGGGGGAGATGCTGCAGACTGCTGAAATCTGAATAGAGTCCTCAACCAGACAGGACGGAAAAATCCAGTTCCATGAAGTGAGTATTTCCCTCTCTGTGGGAAGGTCTGCTGTGAGACCTGAAATGTTTCTAGTGCCTGGGATTTGAAGACACAGTTAAAGCCCTGGGACTTCCAGACGTTTCTGCGCTCCTCCTGGATGGCGATGTCTCTCATGTCACTTGCCAGAGGGCATTCCTGGACAGTAGGTTCACCTCTTGCATTTTGGCAGTCATTGTCTGCTGTTCCATTGCAGTCTGAAGACTTCGGTATATTTTTCTCCTTTTTTTTTTTTTTTTTTCATTTTAAAACAGTTACTGTTCTGACTCATGACCCAGTGCATGTTAAAGAATTATTGCAGCACTCCACTTACAATATTTTTTCACGCTTTCTGTTTTAAAAAGGAAAACACTTCATGTATCCCACTCTAGCATGCAGTGGTAATAATTCCTCTTTTACAGTATACAGGAATGGACTGTTCCATGAATGCACCTTCGGCAGTGTGGCCTTTGTGTATACTGCATTGGAGAGGCAAATACCATTGCTGGAAAACACTATTTTGATGATTCTTTACTCAGTTGTATAGAGTAGTTCAGGAAGGAAGAATATTTTTGCATCAACTTTTCAGATGACATAGCAATAAAGATTTTTACTTTTGTCTAACTATATATTCTGAGTCTGTTACTGCACTGGAGGGAGTGTGTGCAATATCCCAATCACACATAGAGGTAGCCATAGTTGTGCTGTAAGGTCCCTCTCCTTGAGCTCTGTGCTACTTCTACTCAGTCAGCCTTCCATACAAAACGTATATGCAGATCACTGAGAGTAGAGTTAGCAGTACCAAATATTGGGCAGCTCTCTGTACCCTACCAGAGGAGCCCCTGCAAACTTGTGAATAACACAGCTCTTTAGAAGTAAGTGCAGCAAGCAAGCAGTATGGAATCAGTAGAAGAAATAGGGCCACAGTGTCCTGTCCACATAAATCCATGCATTCAGATGCTGAGTGCATATGGCTGTTACAAGGAAGCAGCAGTCACCTGAGGTGTTACAGTGTAGAATTTACTTTTGTATTTCTGCTTGCAGTAGTGTTCTATGACTTCAGAAATTGCGAAGATTTAGTCACTGGTGAAACTGGAGGTAAATCTATGACAAAGCATGCTTTTAATATGCTGCTTTTGGGATTTTTTTTTTTTTTTTCTCCTCTAGAGATGGAGTTGGCCTGTTAAACCAGTGGAGATTAATTCTCACGAGGTTAATGCACTCTGTGGGCACTGCTCTGAAATGGCTTTCCATTCTGAGCATGATACCTGAATCTGGTGCTAGTCTTCTCTTCTTTGATGAGTCTACAAAAACAAACAAAACAAACAAAACCAACAAAGTTCTGAAGAGAAAATTCACCTTTATTTGTTCATAAACAACACAGAATCAGTCTCGTTTCCCTACCTTGTACACTAAAAATGTTTTGCAAACAACACACCTTCTTAAATCACCTCTGTGAGCTCTTAAAACTTACATCTGCTGAGTCAAACTCTGGGCTCTTCTTAGGCAAAATGGTTGTATACAGGTATACACAACAGAGTGCTCCATCCAGAAAGGTGCCCTCACCAGAAGGGAGCAAAAAGAAGGCACAAATTAAGCTGACCACCCTACAAGTTTATTCCAGGAGTCTCTGATGGCAGTATAAATGCCATGTTAAAGCTGCCCCTTTAGCACCAAGAGACCTTTACAAAGCAGGAATTGGCAACCATCAGCTTCATTGCTCACTTTTAAGAGTTCCATTCTCAGGGGACAGTCACAGGCCCTTTGTAAAAGATTCAGCTGTAGGAAGCTGTTCACCAGCATGTGTCTGCAACACGTCCTAGCCATGCTACTTGATGTGCTCTGAGTGACTACTGACATTAATTACCCTACTGCTAGGAGGGTATGTGGGTATGATGTTGGAAACCCAGAGCTCAGGTATGTGATCTCTCTTTTCAGTCATTGATATTCAGAAACAAGGGCTTCTCCAAAGCTGAATTATCTTCCCAGGCTGCAAGCATTCAAAACTAGTTTTGCTGTTTAGACAAAGCCTGTGCATTACTGTGTTTATAAGAACAGCAGTTAGCAATGCATTCTCTCTCAGATATGTGCTGGAGAGGCAGAACAGCCACCAGATGAAGACAATCTGTATGTGTCCGCTAATAATTCAACAGTGCAAATTTAAGTTTGAACAGCTTGGTTTCACTGTATTTGGAGCTATGCTTTTGGTGAATGCTTTGTTATAGTAATAAGAAGGCACTGTCCCCAAGCAAGTAAAAGCATGCCACAAGGCTGGCAAAAATCAGGACTACTACTGGAGCAGAGGAGTAATTCTACTGTTCATACAGTGTGTTCTGGCTTCTGTTTCAGTTTGTGAACTATTCTGTACCCTCTGACAGCCAGGCCTGCACTAAGCAGGAATGTCACGACAGCCGCACAGCCCAGGAGGCCAGCAGCAATCTCTGCCCCATGCACGCTGCAGCTAAAGCCCTGATAGCCTTTGCTTTGGTAAAGGTGTGCTCTGTCTTTGCACACTGATGAATCATAAACCCCCAGCAGATGATGGAAGAAACAGTACAGAGCAAACAGCAAACCCGCTGCAACCACTGTGTCCAGGACGCCTTCCAGTAGGAGCCATGCAGGAAAACGCCACGGTAGCCGTACAACGCCAACCAAAATCAGCGCGGAAGAGAAGACCAGGAGGGCTCCTCCCACGGCCATCGTCGCCCTGGCTATTGGCATCTTGAGCTGGGTGAAACGCCGGTCCAGCTGCTGGGCTTTCTCCCCGTCCGCTCCGCTGAAGCCGCTGTACGCCCCGCCGTACATGTAGTAGTAGATGCCGCCCTGGCCGGGGACGCCCGTGTAGCCGCCCGCCGAGCCGTAGGATACGGAGCTGCAGACGAGGATCAGCGCGGCGAGCAGCGCTCCCACCAGCTGGCAGCAGGCTGCAAGGAGAGGCGTGCCGGGCTGCTGCCGCCATGCGCCGGCACAGAGGCAGGGCCGGGTTGGGCCGCCCGCCGCACTGGGACAGAAGGAGAGGTCCCCGCCTCCCCCCGGCCCCGCTCACCCCGGCCCGTGCGCAGGTAGCGGCAGCGGCGGCACTCCAGCAGCCCCGACGTGTCGACGCGGCCCCGCGGCGGCTCCGCTCCAGGCACGGCGCTGCCGGCAGACAACGGCGTGAGCGGCAGCGGCGGGAGCCGAGCAATCCCTCCGCACAACCCCTCCTCTCCCTCCTGCGTCCCTCACGTCCGCCGCCCGCACTACCGCGCCGAGCCCAGCCCCGGCCGTCCCCATCCCCTTGCGGCCGCTCACCGCCCGCTCGCCCTCGGGGCTCGAGAGCAACTCCCGTCCGCCATGGCCCCGCGCGGCGCCGAGCGCTGGGGGAGGAGCGGAGGACGGCGGGGCGGTGCCAGGTGCCGCGGCTGGACGTCTCCGCTCCTCCGCCTGGGGTCGTCCTGCTCCTCTGCGAGGGCCGCGCGCAGCACCGCCTTCCCTTGAGCGCTGTTCTTCGGTACGCGAGGGCCAGGATTTACGTTCCGCCGAAACTCCGCGTGGTCCTGAAGTTCACCACCTGTCGTACAAAAGCACTTTTTTTACGGGGCCTGTCTTCAGCACTTGCGATGTGTCCTTAAGTGCTGCTGTCGGATTTCGGTTCATCACTCCACAGGAGGTGTTCCCGCAATTTTCTTCAGACCCATTGCCTTGTATCTATGAACACAGAACCACAGAGGCCTCATTAGTGTCTATTTGCTGGAGGCCACCCCAGGCAGTGCAATGTGACATTTTCACAAGCTGCCCAATTTCCATGCAGAACAATGTCTGGCCGCCCAGCGGGACTGACTGCCTCTGTCCCGGAGTCTGCTGAACGCAGCTGTCACCGTGCAGCCAGGAGGAAACTGACTGATCCATTGTTTGCTGGTAGTTGCTGTAATGAAGGCAAGTGAGTGTATGTGGGAAAAAAATAAACGTGGCGCAACAGGGAAACACAGAGGGGAACAGAACACAGCCAGGGAGAATGCTCTTCTCCCAGGGTTTGCCCAACTGCTGCCTGGAAAAGCGTTTGCGTTGCAAAGAAGTGCTTTTGTTGTATTTAGGAAAATTTCAAGGAAACAGTACTCCAGGAGGTCTCAGTATCTGAATGCATGATGAGAAGTCCAGTTTCAGCACAAAGGTGCAGAAATGCATTTCCTCCATCTGTAAGAAGTGAGATAACTACACTTCTGTCCTTGCAGGAGAAACAGCAACAGATCTGCAGCCTGGAGCACTGAGAGGGCTGTGCTGCAGCCTCAGCACTGCAGGCCAACAGCCTCCAGCCCACTTCACACTGCTGCATGAAGTGGGGCTCTGCAAACTTGCCTTAAAATCTATCTTGTTTGCAGATAAGACAGAAGCAAAACAAAATGAATTCTTGTTTTTCTCCAGTTCAGGTAGAGGGGGCAGGAGCTGTAGGACAATGTGATGTTAGAAAAGTTTGCTAATGACACCAAGCTGAGTGGTGCGGTTGACACGGTGGAAGGAAGGGATGCCATTCAGGGGGTCCTCAACAGTCTTGAAAGGTGGGCCCAGGTGAACCTGATGAGGTTCAACATGGCAAAGTGCAGTTTTGCACCTGGGCCGGAGGAATCCCAGGCATCCATACAGACTGCAAGGAGCAGCCCTTGAGAGCAGCCCTGCGGAGAAGGACCTGGGGGTCCTGATGGATGAAAAGCTTAATATGAGCCAGCAGTGTGCTCCTGCAGCTCGGAAAGCAAATGGTGTCCTGGGCTCCATCAGCAGAGAGGTGGCCAGCAGGGACAGGGAGGTGATTGTCCCCCTCTACTCTGCTCTTGTGAGGCCCCATCTGCAGTACTATGTCCAGGTCTGGAGCCCCCAGTACGAGAAAGACAGAGAGCTGTTGGAGAGGGTCCAGAGGAGGCCACAAAGATGATCAGGGGACTGGAGCACCTCCCCTACAAAGACAGGCTCATGTTCATATGTTAGAACTAAGACCTTGCTGCTGGGAAGAGGATGCGGGTAAAAGTTGTCAGCAACTCTTCATTTAATTTTAGGATCATGGGCAATACCATTTTGCCTAGTAGAGCTGTTAATCGCTGTGAAAGGTATGAGAACAACCAAACTGAATAACTGTGAGTACTAATAGTTGTTTCTAATGCAGTGTTGCTGCTGGTCCTTCAGCAACCTGAGCCAAAACTGTCTTTGGATTTTGTGATGTGCTGAAATTAGTTATTTAAAAAAAAAAAGAGCTGGGAGGTGCTGTTGATTTGGTGACACATCAATGTTCTACTAGAATGTTTGCTGCTGGGTACAAACTTCAGGTCATTGCTAATCTGATTCAATCGTATTCAGTTTCTCTGACTGTATTGAGAACTGTTACCAAAATGTTTTATATCACTTGTACTCAATTATCACAGCTGGTAAACCAGCTGAACGTGGTCAATGACACCTTTTGGGTTACCATCCTCAGCAACAAGAAGCAGGAAGTGGCACTCAAGAGAAGAGAGCAATAAGCTCTGTTTACCTTTGCTTTGGCTTCGCTTTTTTTTTTTCTTCTTTTTTTTCTCCTCTTCTGTTTCTGGCTGCTCCTGATGTTACTGCCTCGTGATGGGGAGGGAAGGGCCAGGCCCGGCTGCCATGGGCCAGGAGCTCTGACCTGGTTCAGTGCTCTCCCTGAGACCTTGCAGGGTGAAGTAGGAACAACGAGTCACGGACTGCTTCATACTTCTCCAGCATGAGGCATCTGGGAGCTGCAGCACAATCCCTGCTGAACACCACAAACAGATTTACCATCTCACGCAAATAGTCATGGAAACAGTGAATGCAGCACAATGACAAAGCATCTATGCTGCGGGAAAGAACGGGAGGTTTTTGTGAATCACAAACTGAACTCAAGTCCACAGTGTCATTCTGTTGCGAAAAAAGCTAACATCACTAGGGTGTATAAACATAAATGTCACATGTAGGACATGTGAAGAAATTCTGCTCTCTCCTCCCCCTTTTGCTCTTCTCTACAGCAAAAGAAAGCTCTAGAAATACAACCTACAAAACAAGACATAGCCGGGTCCTCTCATTTACCTGTAAAGTGCCTGCTAACAACTCGCAAGCTGGTCAAAAAGGAGGGATTTTAACAACCTGCAAACTTGTTAAAAAAAAAGCACTGTCAAGAGAAGGATAAGATGTTGTTCTCCCTATCTGTCATTGGCATGATCAGGAAGCAGTGATCTTAATTTGAAGCAAAAGAGATGTGATTTAGGCATCCTCAAAAAAAAAAAAAAAAAAAAAAGAAGATAAAAAGACACATGCCCGACTTCCAGCACTTCCTGAGTTGGAGGGGAGTTGCTGGAGCAGTTAAGCAGGGCATGTTGTAGGTCTCTATCACTGGAGCTCATATTCAATCAGGGGAGTGGCTGACCTCTCTGTGCTCTGAAAGAAAAGTGCCTCAGTCTGCCTACGCCACTCACCACCAGATCATGTTGTCCCCTTGTCCTACAGAGCCATTGTGTTCCTTTCCATCTCATTCCCATTGGCTGGTCTTTGCCCGCATGGCTTCAAGGCCATCCATGGGGCAGTTGCCTCAATAAACAATGCAACAGCACAAGTATCTGAAGTCATACCTCAAACATGGGAATGCACTTACGCAACACTTGTCTGGATGTAAGCAAGGCTTGGCAAGGTACTTGACTTCCCGGTGCTTGCACCCAGGAGCCACTCAGGTGGCCACTAGTGTGGAGCATTCTTTGCTGCAGCTCTAGGAGGGCCTGTTAATCCTTCACTGTGGCTGCTGGGCCTGTAGTCACCAGTGCTGCTGACTCCATGAGCCTGGGATACTTGCTGGTTTGCTCAGTTAGAAATGTCCTGGGAGCCAGTAATTAGTCACAAAATTCACTGGAGCCAAGGAGTCTTCACAGCCGTTTGTTCATCTATAGGAGAGATTGATAAGAAATTGATTAAAAATAAAAAATAAAGGGAAAAATTACATGCTTAAAGACTGATACTGCTAGAAAGGTCTAAACAGCAATTAGGCAACAGACATTTAGTGGAGCACTCCTGACCTTGTTGTTTCTGACACTGTGCCAGTGTCAGAAAGAAGCAGACAGAAACTGCTGGAAAGATAAGCAGAATGCAGGGAGGTAATTACTGAGGTGACCTGACCTGTAATTGATCCTGCTAGATTTTTGTGCAGAGCAGCTGAGTGTTTGTCCCTGGATCAGCATATCCTGAATGGTAGTGCAGAGCATATGTGCAAAACTCTATTGGAGCATGTCCTGCCTGCAGCCTAACTGGAGGCATAGATTTGCCAGTGTAGCAATGGTTGCATTCATGCTCCACTCAAGCAGCCATTTGTCAGTCCTCCTTTATAACTGTGGCTCGTCTTGGAAGAGGGAACTGCTTGGTTTTGTAGGTTTGACCTCTGTTCACAGAAACTGTCTTTGGAGCAGTTGTTGTACAAGAGCAAGGCAGCGCCAAGGAACCATCAAAGCATCATCAGTTTCTTCTTCATTGCTGATGCTACAGAAGAAAAAGGGAGCTGAAAAGGGACAAAACAAGAAACCCATAAGAAGGAACTGCTAAGGAAGAGAAATAGATGGTGTGTGAGGGCTGGTGGAGTACAGAGTACCACCAGCTGCCTTACTGCAGAAACATGTACTACAGAGTATGGACACCTCTTTTGCTACATTATATGTGGATTGGCATCACTGTATTTGGAAAACTTGAAGTGCTGAGCTGTGTGCTCATGCTTTGTTCCTGGGAGGCTTTGTGGGCAGAAGGTGATGGGGAGGGCTGTATGACATGGGACTGTCCAGATAAGGACTGGAGTCATGCAGGGAGAAGAGAAGGGCATAGCAATAGCAGGATAAACCCACTGACCCCATTGCACTGTGTCCTTCCCATGTCTGGACAGGTTCTCATCTCTATGTAACTGAGTCTACCTGTGCCTCCAGAGCCACGTTCTCCTCTTGGCAGCAGGCCACCCAGCCATGCCCTCCCCTGCACCCCACTGCAGTGTGCAGAATTATGGGTAGAGCTCTGGTTGCATCACGTTCAGTGTTGTTGCTAGGCAGAACATGCAGCAGCGTCCTTGAGACCTCCCAGCAGCACATTTAACCCTGGTAGGGCTGCAGCACATCAAGAGATGAGGCCAGCTAGATGTGAGAACATTACCCGCACGTGCTTGGAGAGGTCACACCTGAGCTTCTGAAGGTCATCCATTTCAGGCTTCAGAAAAAGAAGAGAAACACTAGAGCTGTGCAGCTCTCAACAGAAGAGAATATAAACAGCTTCAAAACAAGATATTTCTATGTTAGATGTTTTTGAAAGGCATTATTCCTTGTTCAAAGCCCCTAGGGGTGTCTGCTGTGGGAGGCCTGCCAGTAAAACTGGGATAGGAGTGTCTGTCCAGCCCCACTAGCTGCAACCCACCAGGTCACAGCCCATCTCTAGAACCTATGTCACCAGTCCCTGTTGTGCCCTCAGCAGCACCTAGTACAGCACTGCAGCCAACAGCAGGTCACAGCTCCCCAGCAGCTTTACCCCAGACCCATAACCAGGGCTGGGAGGGTCACACCACTGCACATGGGGAGATGCAGCCTTATTGCTTAATGCAGGAGGCATGTGCTAAGCACAGGTGGTCCTCCTTCCTCCCACACAAGAACAGAGTGGCTATGACCACAACCAATCAATCAATCAATCAATCAATAACAGTTGGTTACTGCTGACCTCTGCAATGGAGGTGTCAGCAGTCTGTTTACCAGGAGATAATAGGATGCCTCTTGCCTCTAAGCAGCTCTTTGATCTCCAGCCATTTGCTGTCAAGGTAGTAGAGGAAGACTTGTAGCAGTCCTTGGAAGACAGGAGGTGTGTGGATGGACTTTCTTATTTATCCCCAGTTTGTAACAGGCAAAGGACAAGAGAGCATAGATTTTACATCGCTTAAGAAGAAAGGGCCTTCTGGTAATGGCATCATTTGTGCTTGCATCTCTATCAGGGGGGAGGGAATTTCAGTATCTCTGTTACCTGCCAAAATGATGAGAGTTTGCTTGGGTATTGCAACAACAACAACAACAAAAGGTAACTGGAGCTCCCTTTAACCCTTCAGCTCCTGGTGCCTGCTAGGGAAGTACTTCCTTCCCATCATCCTATAGGCAAAAAAATCCCCTCTGTGTAGCAGTGCCATAATGTCTTTTCTCAGCATTAAGACAGTGAGCCTTTGAAGTGGGGCAGGGCATATCATTACTACCTGCTGGTTTTAGAGTCCACCAACCCATTCTTGGTGCATTACAAGATGCTAGGATTGGAATATGGGCTTTGCCCTATGGGATTCTTCCTCTTCCCCTACCACCAAGCCTTCCAGTGCAGAGCGAAGTCATTCAAATGGGTGGTGGTCCAAGGCTTCCAGGAAGCAAAGCTGTGGCACTCTGTAGGCTAACTCACAAAGAGTTAATGTGCAGGCATGTTCCAGTTATTTGCAGTGAATGCGGTTACAGAGGAGAGGGCGTTTTTGGGTGGAGAGAGCAGCCCTCTCTGTGAGCCAATGGCTAAAGGATTCTGTCCCAACGCCCAGTCTGGGGACTTATTTCATGGGCAAGAATTTGCAGGAATTCCTTCTCGAGATTTGTCTTGGATGAAAAGCAGGGACTGGACCTCTAAGCTTGTTGGTGACTCCCCCTCTCTGCTGTTAGAAGGTAAAGTACAATCCTCTGGTACCTTCTTTGGTGATGCTGATGTGTGGGGACTGTTTCCCTGTCTGCCTACACTGAAGGCATCTATTTTGCCTGCATATGCAGCTTCCCTCTGCATGTTGCAAGGTGTTTTGAAGGCTCTGCTGAGATGTGCATTGTACACTGGGACTCATCTCTGCTGTTGAACAGAGACATGCGGCTCATTTATTTTCTCAGTTTTTATGCAGTTAAGAAGAATCAATGTGGTTCTTCAGTTACCCTTCTTTTGGTACAAAGGACACTCATGAGGCATTATAAGTAGGGAACGTTAAGTCTTCTTTTATCACTACCACCCCTTAGATCTATCTCAGTTGCTTTAAAGACGAAGCACTGCTGGTAAAGTAACTTCAGCAGCATGGGGCATATCTATGAGCAAACCTTACTGAATCAGTGAGAAATCTGTTTATGTGGCAAATCCCTCCTGAACCGGGTAATGCAACAACCCTTTCAGTGTTGGGAGGATCAGCTAGCTCCCTTGTTTATCATGACAGGAATATCTGTGAAGATGGCATCTAACAGCTGATGGGGCTACATAACTACCATCAGGAATGGGTCACAGTGAATTGTCTTTTAGTGGAGCAGAGAAAAAGAGCCCTGCAGAGACAGAATATGGGCAGCTGATGAAAGGATTACAAGGCACAATTCTGATGTCACTGAGAATAGGCTTGGTGGCTAAGGAGATCTCTGTTGGTGCTGTCCCTAACCTCCTCCTGAGGTTAGCAGCAGCTCTTAAGCTTTTGCTGTTTTGGACTAGGTGGTAATTTGGGTATACATGCTCAAGTACATACAACACTTTCCTGCCAACTTTCGGAGGTCTAGAAGGTAGTTGTTCCTCTGCTGTGCCTTGCTTGTTACCCAGCCTCAGGCAGGATTGCAGGCACTTTGCCTGGGATGGTGTCACCATCTTGATTTCCCTCATGACCCTACCAGCATTTCTTCATTGATTTTTAAGCACTTCCTTTTCGTCTGGAGTCTGTTTTGGACTGGAGTGCTGCCATAACCTACACCCTAACACTGTTAACTGTATCCTGATAAGATGGTATCAGAACTACTTTTTTGTTATTTAAGTCTTAATTTTAACAGTATCACGTTTCGATCTGCAGACTGGAGGGACTTTCTGGGTGTGGTACACATACAAACTGGGTTACAACTTGGGGTCTGCAAGTTAATAGCTGGCCCTTCTATCAGCAGAACACTGAATTTGCAGCCATGCAATGACTACAGTATGCTGCTAACTACTAGATGATGCATTTATGATTTAGCAGGACTGCTCCTCTCCGGCACAGCAATTGCCCTCATACTAAAAAGCAATATGACTAGCACAGGAAAATGCCTCTGTCTTTCCTGCTCCATTGTGAGCTCATTTGTGTGTGGAGATTCATTCCTTCCTGATCCTAAGCACAACTTCACTTGCTGCTAGTGACTGACTTGCACATAGACAGCGGGCAGTTCTGCAGCTTTCAGAAGTTTTGGTTTTGGAGATTGATAGGCAGTGCCTCCCAGGTAGGCAGAGCCTTCATCTGGCATGTACTAACCAAGCTCAGGAAATCCATTTACCACTAACAACTTTCAGGATGGACTCGTACCTGATCCAAGTGAATGGCCAAGGAGATCATGTCCCCCTGTTGGATATTCATCTCAAGACCAATGGAAACAGCATGTCACTGGGAAAGGTGAAGGGCCGGAAGCCAAGATGGGCTGTCAGGGCTTCTGAAATGTCAAAGAAGACTTTCAATCCTGTCAGAGCCATCGTAGACAGCATGAAGGTGGAGCCCAACCCAAAGAAAGCCATGATCTCCTTGTCTTTAGGTGAGCACAGTGCTGTGGCTGAAACCTCTGAGCAGTGAGGTGGCCTGTGGGGCTGCCAGATTGCAGGGCTCTGAACCACAAAGCTAGCGGGGAACAACAGAATGTGCTAGATTGCCACACAGCTCTGTGGCTGCCACAGATCAGCGAGAACTGATATTTTTTTTTAATCTTTTTTTTTCTGATTTTTGTTATTTTTCAATCTTTGAAAAGGAGACCCAACAGTCTTTGGAAACCTTCCCACAAATGATGAGGTCACGCGAGCTATGAAGGAGGCTTTGGACTCAGGACGTTACAATGGTTATGCTCCATCTGTAGGTAAGCTGACATAGGTTAGGCATGTGGCAGGTCATTCCCCACAGCAGGTTTATGGAACCCACAGATATCCCTTGGGTAGCACTCTGCAGCTCCCTTCTCAGCAGTCCCATGAGCTCATAAATGTGTATGTCTCAGATGCCAAGAGTGCCCTTCCCTGCATGATCTGGTTGAGAAGGCATCACAAAGGTGTTTTCCCTGAGATACAACCATGGCTCAGATTCTCCCACAATCAGCTGTGTTTGCTTCCTGAGCCATTAGAGCAGGCAGGGCTCCAGCAACACAGAAAGCCTTAGGACTGTCTCCTGGCCATGGACTGCAGCCAAATTCCTCCTGGTGTACCTTGACCAAGACTCCTCTTGCATTCCCTGCCTTTACAGAGAATGAGCCTTGTTTGCAGTTAGTGCTAACAGCATACACAGAGCACAGATCACACCTGCCTCACAGAATTCTCTGTGACAATAAGGACCCAGTGCAGAGAGGGCTGCCCTTGTACCACCACTAAACAAGTGAAGGTCGTGCAACAAGTCTTGGTTTCCTACTGGGTAAAAACATCTCCCTGGCTACATTCTACCCAGCTCAATTGTGTTCCATGTCCAGCACACGCTGGGGCAAAAACCACCCCTCTGTCCAAGGCCTGTCTTCTCTCATGACACACCTGGCCCTGTCTCGGGGCTGCAGGCTGCCTGACCTGAGACAGGACAATCTCTGCCACCCTGACACAATGCCATTAACAAATGGGCTTACCCTGGCTGGGTAAGCACCTGGGAACCTTGTCCTAGCAAAAAAAAAAAAAAAAAAAGGGGGAAAAAAAAGAAAAGGAAAAAAAAGAGATGTTCTGTAAAAACCTGTCTGCCATTTGTAGCTCTTCTCTCCACAGGCTACCAGTCCTGTCGAGAAGCAGTGGCTGCATATTACAACTGCCCAGAGGCACCATTGGAGGCCCAGGTACCGGTGTCCAGCCAAGATATTGCCACTGCAGTACAGGCAGATTGCTGCTGCCCATGCCTGGACCATGTGGCATGGGAACTCTGCCCCAGCTGTTGTTGTTCCCTCTCCAGCCTTGGGACCTGTGGGTAGCTCATGGTCTTGTTCCACACCAACCTGCTGCTCCCTTTCCCTGCCTTGGACCATTCTATTCCACCTTTATTGGAAGGATGTCAAGCTCTCTAACTGTTGGAGGTTCCCCAACTTTAGTCAGGCTCCACAGTCATTCCATGTGGCTGGGGATCCTCAGAGTGGTTGCACTTTCCACTCATTCCTGTGTTTTCTTTGCAGGATGTCATCTTAACAAGTGGCTGCAGCCAGGCCATAGAACTTGCCTTGGCAGTGCTGGCTAACCCAGGCCAGAACATCCTGGTGCCACGGCCTGGCTTCTCTCTCTACAAGACTCTGGCGCTGTCCATGGGAATTGAAGTTAAACTTTACAATCTTATGGTAAGTGGTAGCAAGCTTGGAGAGGGCAGTCCTAACACTTCTGCCTCTTAAGAATGAATAAATAAAAATCTTGACCCTGCCTGGGAAATGCGTAAATATGATCTGAGCATCCTTGGGCACCTTGTCAAACCTCACTCTCTGTATGAAGTGCAATTCCTCTACCCTACTTCCCCCTTTCTTCTTTCATCAGCCAGAGAAGTCCTGGGAAATTGATCTGAAGCATTTGGAGTCCCTGGTGGATGAGAAAACAGCTTGTGTAATTGTGAACAACCCATCAAACCCCTGTGGCTCGGTGTTCAGCAAGAGCCACCTCCAGAAGATCCTGGCAGGTAAGACTGCATGTGTGTATCTGGGCTTTGGCTGCAGACTGGTGTTTGTCCAAACTGCCAGTGCCTTAATCACTGTTTTTCTGCAAGGCTGTGGCTGCTGCTCTGCAATGTAACAACAGTGTTACATGAAGCAGTGCAGTGGTGCAGGGGTTTGTCTATTACCTCATGACTGATTGCAGCCTTGAACCGCACTCTGGGCTTGTTCAGTATGAAGAGTTTGCCTTTTCTGGGCAAGAACACGTATGATGTGTGTCTCAGTATTTCTGAGATGGCCGGTGTGGCTTGGGTCACTTATTTCTCCACTCTGGCTCCTCAGAAAGTTCATAGGAAGCCCTATGGCTCCTGAGCACTGGCCTGCCAGTGCAGGTCTACACGTGAGAGCAGAAGTAGGCTCAGCCAGGAAGGGCCCTCCAAATGATCGTCACCCTGTAGGAGGAAAAGAGAAACCCTCTGCCCTGGGGCAGAATTTCCAGGCCCTGCAGAAAAAGGCAGGTCTGCTCCCATGGAGGACACAGGATGACTAGGCTGAATGCCCTCTCTCCCACAGTGGCATCAAGACAGTGTGTGCCCATCCTTGCTGATGAGATCTATGGAGACATGGTGAGTGTCCATCACAGTCCTTTCCACCCTTACACTACCTGTCTTCTCTGCTGCACTTGCCCTTTGGCCATGGCAGCGAGCTCTTCAGAGGTGACAAATAGCATCTCTTCCCTGTACTGTTCCTGAGCCCATGCTTGTAATATGTTGTCCTGGGTGTATATTTCATTTCCTGCTTCATTTCTTGTGTCTCATGCACAGTCCCCCCAGTTTTCACAGTGAGACACAGTGACAACCCTAACACAGTTACCTGTCATAGGTGTTTGCTGACTGCAAATATGAACCCATTGCAACTCTCAGCACCAATGTGCCAATTTTGTCCTGTGGTGGCCTGGCAAAGCGATGGCTAGTCCCAGGCTGGCGGATGGGCTGGATCCTAATCCATGACAGGAGAGACATCTTTGGTAACGAGGTGAGAACTGCCAAATGTCACTGTCAAGACAACAGATCTGCACTATCTTCAGTGTGTGGATCAGCAGGGCTTAGACTGATAGAGGCATGTACTGCTCTTTTGCTTTCGTTTGCCAAACTCTCATCTTTTTTGTGTGCTTCTGCTTTCTTCTCTTCTCAAATAGCTCCCGTGTTCATTGATGGTATTGCATGGTTTATCCAGCAGTCTCTGGGGTCTATGAGCTCTCATATGTTTTCTCTTAAAAGTGGGACCAAAATTCCAAGCCTTGTAGCCAGTGTTTTGTTTCGCTGTTCATACATGTTACAAGAGCAAATGCTGCTACTACTGCAGTGACCTTTCTACCCAGCAGTGAGTGAGCAGAAAAGCTAATGTTAATTCTCCCTATTTGACTTTAGAAGTGTGGAATGTGGGCACAAACCTAACGGACATGTAAAGTGGTATTTGGATTAGATCTGGTTTTATTTAGTCAGAATATTAACTGTTTTAAGTCAGACTGGGAAGCTCAAAAGGATATTTCTGCTGGCATTACAGTCTTCAACTGGGGAACAGGGAATGACAGTGAAAATAGTCTGCAGATACCTGGCACGTAATCAAGTAAATGTTCTGAAGGACTCCATGCTTACTGAAGAGAACTTTTACAGACAGTAGGCCTCGGAGCTGTTAGAAAAGCACAGAAACACAGTCAGAGCATAGTCTGCAAATATCACCATATTTCTTTCAGATCAGGGATGGCCTTACCAGGTTGAGCCAAAGGATCCTAGGACCCTGTACAATTGTCCAAGGAGCACTGGAACGTATCTTGCACAGAACACCGCCCGACTTCTACCACAACACCCTCAGCATCCTCAAGGTAATCGGGTTGTCAGTAGTTTGCTCAGGTATTATTTGGAGTGGGGGAATCAGTATCTCTCTAGCTTATTGTTGTGGCAGGAATACTGGCCATGACAGGCAGCCCAGCTTTGAAGCTAGAGCTGGTGACCCAGGTGGTGGAGCATTAAGCCCTGACTTGCTGAGTTCAGCTCAGTGATGTCTGCCTTACTCAAGGCCATAATCACCCATATTGTTTGCGTTCCTTGCCCCTTTATTTGCAGCGGGCAAACTTGTTCATAGTCCTGGTCCAGAACTTGGTTTCCATTTGCTAATCAGCTTCCTAGAATTTCTCCCGTTGTTGAACTTTCTCCTTTCTACTTTTCAGTCCAATGCTGACCTTTGTTATGCTGCTTTGTCAGCTATCCCAGGCCTCCAGCCTGTTCAGCCTGCTGGAGCCATGTACCTCATGGTAAGTGAGGAGGGTGAAATGCCATTCCAGTTATCAGTGGTTACCCTACAACTCAGAAATGTAAATATACTGCAACATCAGCCTCACTCATACTCAATAGATAAATCTTTATCAGTTTGCTAGTAGCCAGTCTTACCCAGAGTTACAGTCATTCCTATGCTGCTTATGTAGAGGGATAGCTCTAAGGCTTGTTCACACCTCTAGTATTTCCGTAGTATCTAAACATTTATTCCATATGAAATCAGCTGGTAAAATTTTTCTCCTGCTGGCTTTTTCAGACCTTCTGCATGCAAATTATCTCTCACCTGTTTTATTTGAATATTGAATATTTTCATAAGAGGTCTTTGGTTATGTGATAATGGGACAGTCTTCTTTTTTTCCAAATACAGCACAGAAATAGTTATTGAACATTTCTTATTTTATTTGTCACTTTACTAGTTATATCATCCACGCCTATTTGACCACAAAGAGTTCTTTTCTCCATAGGATTCTAGACCTCGCTTTCTTAAAAAAACAACAACAACAAAAAACCCTCATTAATTTATCTCCAATCCTTTTTTCTTACCTTATGGATTTCTTGCATGATGGAATTACCAGTAGATTATGGGTAGAATTCTCTCACTCACTTTTTTTTCCTTATCTTATTTATCCCTTCTCATTTCTAA